TCTCTGGGATGCAAACACAAATGGTTACATGAGGACCTTCCCACTTTTTCGGGCTCGTTGACCCTTCAAACACTGATCGATTTTAAAGCAGAATTAACTCTTAAGTTCAATTAACCGTTGGAAAAAGCACAGGCTTTCGTTTACAAAATGCAACACAAATATCCAAACGTTTTTAACTTTTTGTTCTATAGAATCTTAGTTTAGAATCTTTAGATGCAAGTTTTTGTTTGTTTGTTTGTTTGTTTGTTTGCTTGTTTGTTTGTTTGTTTGCTTGTTTGTCTGTCTGTCTCTTTGTTTGTTTGTTCGTTTGTTGGTTTGTTGGTTTGTTTGTCACTTCTCACTTTTCCCTGGGATCTATTGTGTCGGACTGCAGCACTTTTAGAGTTTAAGTCGGTGCTCATTTGTTACAAGTGGCTGTAACGTTATCAGGGGGGCTGCTCTCTCTCTCTCTCTCTCTCTCTCTCTCTCTCTCTCTCTCTCTCTCTCTCTCTCTCTCTCTCTCTAGCTCTAGCTCTCTCTCTCTGTAACATTATCAGCAAAGGTTCACACTCACATGCCGACACAATAAACAGAAGTGGTGTACCACACACGCACACCCACCCACCCACACACACACAAACACACAAACACACAAACACAAACACGCCGCCAAGTAACGAGGATCGTGGCTTGACGTAAATACATTCGAATCAAACAGTTTTGATTCGAATGTGTGTGTGTTGTGGATTGTTGCCACAACAGCCCCTGTTCGAACCAAGATGAGTCGATCCAAAATCGGAGCAGCTTTACACCTATTGCAGAGTCGGTGCAGCACAATCGAACAGTCGGTGAAACGCACTTGAGATGAGCCAGTCAAACAACGAAACAGTTTTATCTCCACAAACAGCAAGACGAAGCACAATCAAATAGCTATATCCCTTTCTTCAATGATAATAGAGAAAAAATAATATTTATAGTGAGTGGGCAAGCAAGTTTTGACACCACCATCTTTGCCGATTTTTCTTTTTTTTTTTGGCTGCACAGAATGGCTTCAAATCTTAAGAGGGAGATACCTTACATCACAAAGAACTCACAAAACAAAATTCAGAAACAAATAATAATATTTTAATTTATATTTAGGAATTTTAGGTCCCAATTTTTTTTTTTTTTCTGGGGTCCGAACCTCTTCAGGTTCGGGCCCCGTACGGGGACCCGAACGCCCGAATGTTCGGGGGTCAGCTTAGGGGCCTCCGTACGTTTGGCCTGGTAACCCTGGGGGTTACAAATACAAGTACGGAGACACGCATTAATCGCATGCGATTACGCACAGTCGCCTCGCTGTAGCGATATGAGATCATTTGATTCTGCAGAGCAGAGAGCGCACACAGGTAACCGTGGCTTGTACCCGGCCGTACCCAACCGTAACCACCAAGTTACGGGTGGGTATGGGTACACCTTCTGAAGGGGGAGTTGGGTATGGGCAGGCACAAACAAAAGGTGGTGGTTGTTAGGGCGGGCACAGTTGCCCTTCTTGGAGATCATGGGTGGGTAGGGGCAGGTAGGGGTAGGGGTGGGGCGGGGGGAAGCGGGTATGGGCAGCCATAAAAAAGAATAGACAGGTATGGGCAGGTACGGGTGGCCCAAAAAATAAAGGGGTGGGTACGGGCGGGTAGAGGTTCCCATCGGGTAATCTTGCGGGTAGGGGAAGAAGGTTCATTTCCAGCCTTGTCAGCTTTCTATCAGCCACAAAGTGGTTGCTACCAGTAGTCGAGCAAATGCTGCACAGGTGGGTGCACCTCATGTCTGGTGCACATGCAGGCCTGCGGCACCGTAATAATACTAATAATCATCACCGCATTGTGCGCACAGGACTCCCGAATGTACGATTCCTCGCTGGTGTGTATTGGGATCGATGACGTCGTTCCGTACGTTCGCAAGCATGGCGTCGGAGTAGATGTCTGAGCCCTGCCGCGAGCGCAATGTTCATGCTCTTCATGTCCCAACAATCCTGCTGTCTAGGTGGCGGTGGCGGAGATGGGGAACCTGTCCGCCGAATAGGCCCCTGTGATGGCTGATCCGACCGTGAACGCCTCCGCCGATGAGACCTCTGTGACAGCTGACCTGACCATTAAAATGTTGATGATGAGGACAATGATGAAGGGGAGGCATGCCAGGAGGAGGAGGAGGAG